AGAGACCCTAAGAGGATGATAGGAGTCATGCTGGGGCCGGGTCTGCCTCTTATAAAACCACTTACACTTAACAACATAGCTCACCACTGCTTGCTTTTACAAGGAGATGCTGTGGTAGCCTAATTCCCAGTACATCTCACCCAGACATGTACAGTACATTAACAGGAGTCAACTCTTAATCACAGATTTACAGCGCGCCGAAGATGAGCCGTGCCACAGAGTTTGTTCTTCGATGCTAATGAGCCCATCCCCTCCTCGCCTCTCGCCTTCCATCAGTCTCTGCCAGCTTGTCATCTCACACCTTTCCCTGTCATCTCTCCGTCCATCCCTCCGTCCCCCTCATCATTCATCTTTTCTTCTCAATTTTTCGCCTGCCGCTCTCTCCCTCTGTCGATCCAATCCATCTTTCTTGCCTTCCTGCCCCGCACCATGTGAGTCAGACACAACGGAGGGATTCAGCTCCAACTATGGACTTGTTTACATGCACATGATCCCTTCAAGCACTTCACATCAAGTTAGAGAGTATACTTTGTGTGTTAGAGCACAGGAGGAAGGAAAAAAAGCGGGTTAGAGTGTGTATGCGCTCGTGCATACTCATGTTTTAATGTATCCTAAAATGTCTTTAAAGCATACTGAACCATAATGTTATGATATAAAGTTACAGTCTAGACGATCACAGCTTCTGTTTATTATCTTTCATGTCCTGGCAACATTTTTGCTGATTGTGTGAGTTGTTTGCTCTGCCATTGGAAGCCATTTGGAAATCAAAGAGTTTGGCTCTCTGACTGTGATGTCTTTTTTCTTGAATGACATTTACTTTACCTGCTCTGAAGCTGTGCTTACACTAAATACAAACCACTGGTGTTTTGGTTTTTTTTTTGCAGGAAACATAAACTACTTCCCTTCCTGAACATGAGAGAATTTTCCCCCAAAAATGCTTTGGACAACAAATCCTCCCTTTACTTGGTATAGGCTGACTAACTATTCCTGAAATCAGCTTGCAAGTATCAAAAAGGAACATTTCTAGTAAAATGTCAGCGATTACTAATGGAATTTGGCAGATTCAAATTAGGAACTTCGTATTTAGTGGGTACAGCTTGTACATCATGGTGCTTTTATAAGTGCAGCAGAGAATTAAAGACTTGACGCCGCTCCATCAGTGACTTGGGGGGGGGGAAATAGGTCAACTAGAAGCAGGCAGGCAAAGTAGAAAGGAGGGTGGGAGGGAGAGGGGCATTTCTCAGCGACAGACTGCCATACAGTATATAGACTATTCATGAATAAGCTCTGTGTAAGCCCTGGGCACTGCTGTGGCCCCGTTACTATGGCGTCCATGGTGAACAGCCGAGGAATGTGGTCTTACTGGGCAACGAGGGATGGAGAGGGAGGGAGGGAGGGAGGAGATCTGGAGAGGGGCCTATGCCTCGGACTACTTTGGTCACTGGTCACATCTCCACCTTTAGCCCGAGCCGAGCCTCTGTCGCTTTCTTCTTCTCTCTCTCTGCTCTCTGCGTCTCTCATTGTTCCTCTAAGTCTCTCTGAGCTGCATTCATCCCCACACGTCCCGGTTCTCTCTCTGAATCCATCGATACTGCTCTCTCCTTCTGTTTTTTTTTCTTCTTCTGTCCTCTCTTTCTCTGACCGTGTCACCATCCCTTCATCCTCACCTTCCCTCTCTTTCATCACAGATCTCACACCTGAGTCCCTGCACAGCACACTCGTCTCTACTGCCAGCGTGTGCGTGCATGCCTGTGAGCGTGGCTATACTTCCTGCTGGTTTACCATCTGTTGCTCTCGTCAGCTGACTGGATGAACCCGTTCTTCTGACGCCTCTGACCTGCGTGTGTGTGTGTGTTTGTGTGCACGTGTGCGCATCATCACTTTACATAAAAAACACTGTTTGTATTAAAAAACCACAGCGTTTCGACCTCCTCTGATCTTTTGGCTGTCGATGTCAGTCGCAAAGACAGGAAAGAGCGGCGAGGTGTCTGTGACTGCCTCTAACTTTGGCTATTTACCTGCTCGAGTGAAGGCATCTATACAGGTGCTGCTGGGGTTGACACCAGCAAATGTGGCAGAGACCAGACAAGGCATAAGAAAAGCGAGCGAGAAGTAAAAAAAAAAGAAGGGAAAAAGCACAGAGACAGCAAACATGAAAAGCTACTTCTCTCTACACTCTACTTCCCACTCAGTTCTGTCTGTCTCTTTGTATCACTATGTGTGTGTGTGTGTGTGTGTGTGCGCGCACGTGAGTGTGTGTGTGTGTGTGTGCGTGATGGTCAGTTTGCCTAAACACAGCCGAGTGCAAGAGCAAGCTCTGCCCTCTGAACCCCCCTCATTCTCACACACACACACACACACACACACACACACACAAACACATGCGCTCAAACACAATCCCCCATCATCACCACCAATGCCAGTATTATAATCAGCCACCCCCTCCCCATCTCACCAGAGCCAGCTGACCTACTTCCTGTCTAGCCAGTCCAGTGGTTGACTGTACACTATGTCATATGAGAGAGGAGAGTGTGTGTGTGTGTGTGTGTGTGTGTGTGTGTGTGTGTGTGTGTGTGTGTGTGTGTGTGTGTGTGTTTGTGTGGGGTGGGGGGTGGGGTATCATGATGAGTCAAAATGCGCGGTGTAAAGATGGAAAAAATGTGAGCAGCAGAATAGAGGCAGTGCAGATAAATCGTTAGGGCCTGTCCGGACGTGTTGAGCAATTCGTCTTGCGTTTCTTTGACAGCTTGACTGTTGTTCACCTGATGAGTGACACAAAATCACGTTAAACATTTCCTTAGAAGTCTGGATGCATATTTGTGGAGGAGAGAGAACCAAACGACAAGTCTGGAGCAGCTTGCATTCAGCTGACTTTCTGTGGTTTTACCACATCATCAGATGGAAATTTCTTTGGGCTCGCCACTAAAATTCAAACAAAGCTTGGTTGCACAACAAGTGACCTCAGTGACATCAGCAGGTCAGAGGGATCTAGCAAATCATTTTCTACGAAACCATTATGTTCTTAGAGGTGTCATGTTTCAAATATCACCCTCGCCAAAGAACCATTTTAACTATGAGTGTGCAAATGCAAACATGCAAAAACGCATAAATCAAAAGAGGTGTCAAATGATCACTACTGCTGGGATCACTCACATGAACCCATCTTGCTTCAGATACATGACCATGCTGTGTCAAAACAAACGTGTGTGTGTGTCCTTGTGGCTGCCTCTGAGTCACAGTGAAAGACAGGCGCTTGACACGCCTTTGAAAGAACGGGACATGCATGGGCTGACTCCCCAATGCACAGACACTTCCCTCCTCTCCCTCATCCCTCTTCATCTCCTCTGTCTGCCTCATTCTCCATCTCCTCCTCCTCCTGTCTTTCACGTTCTCCTTTTCCATTCCGCCACCAGTTCTGCTCTCCACACCGGTGAGAACACACACTATAGGTGCAAACCTCTAAAGTAGCGTTTGGTGTCGACACATCATTCACCTCCCCATGTGAACGTTACTCTTCATGCGGTCGGGGCAGGGAGGTGGGCAGGGAGAGAGAGAGAGAGACAGAGAGATGATGCTAAAAAGACAGAGCAGCTGGCAGATAGACATGGAGGTGCGTACAGTCAGTCAGACGGAGAAGATATAAAAAATGTTTTAAAAAACACAGGCGATAAAAAAGCAGGAACGACGTGCAGGTAGATTGATGAGCAGTTGTGAATGATGCGGAAAGATAGGGAGCAAACAGCCATGATGAGCGAGAAAGAGACGGGTGAAGACAGAGGGTATAAAAAAAAAAAAACAGACAAGCAGTGCACAATCAAGCAGACAGGTAAACACAGGCAGGCCGACAACAACTGCATTGTGTGTGTCTGTGTGATGTGGCTCGGTTTCTCAGAAGCAGCAAACAGGTCTTTAGCTGAAGCCCCCTTTTTCTCATGTGCAGCATCCCTTACTTGTGTGCAGCTGACTATCAGCCTGGCAGACACCCACACATTAGAAACACACACACACACACAGAATAACACACACCATGCCCAGCGAAGCGAAAACATGGGTATCCACGCATAAACACAAGCGCAGGAGGCTGTTTGTGTGTATGTCTGTGTGTGTGTGTGTGTGTGTGTGTGTGTGTGTGTGTGTGCGTGCATGTTTGCAGCACACATTGGATGAACAAAAGAACTGGCTATTGCAGCATGCAAGGCTTTCAGCTTTGATGGAGAGAGTAGGCTCCAGTGACTACAGGTAGGTTGGCACTCTCACTCTCTCTCTCACACACACACACACACACACACACACACCAAACAGCACCAAAAACAGCAAGAGGGGAACTAGTTTAAGAGGGGACAAATGTGCGTAAATAACAATTTCAAATCTGGAATCAAGTAGCCTTGTGTCTTTCTCGCTCTCTAAAACACAAGCCTGGAGAGTCAGCAGTGTGTGTGTGTGTGTGTGTGTGTGTGTGTGTGTGTGTGTGTGTGTGTGTGTGTGTGTGGGAGAAATAGGTTAAATTCCACTGCTGTCTGAATCAAGGCTGATGGGCCTATAATAGGCTGGTCCACAGTGGAAAAAAAGATACACAACCACCCCCCACCCCCTTATCCAGGTCAGCAGAATCACAGCTACAACCTGAATCCAGCACCACACACACACACACACCATCAACCTTCCTGTGACTGACTAGAATGAAGATGAGGCTTCAGATGCGGGAGCCAGCTGTCACGTTAGTTAATGTCTATATATAATTTGATCTATAATTTGACACATTGTGGCGGCCTGGCTGCCCGTCTCCCACACATCCGCCTCTTGCAGCCTCCTCTGCTGCTCTCCTGCCGGTTGCTATTCAGGGAGCGCTGTCAGGTGCAAAGAGAAGGAGAGAGGGAGGGAGGGAGGGAGAGAGAGAGAGAGAGAGAGAGAGAGAGAGAGAGCCACGCACGCCACGCACACACCAGTTTGTCTCTGTATTGCAAGAAAAAACTAAATGTTGAAATGTCACATTGTCTTACCCTCAAAGCGGACAGGTCGATTTCGTCCAGACTCCGAGCTGGAGAGTCACTCGCCATGATGGAGGACACAAAAAGAAGCCGCTCTCGGTTGCCCTATATCCTGAAACGGCCTTTGCTGTCACGACTGTGTGGTCCTCTCTGCTGCTCAGTCTCTACTGTCCCCCAGCTCCTCTCTCCCTCTCTCTTTCTCTCTCTCTCTCTCTCTCTCTCTCTCCTACACAGTGATGTCTCAGCTAAGCGACAAAATAATAACAGCCCCCTCTCCGGTCAGCAGCGGGACGTGCCTCGGGCCGGGAGCGCACAGCTAGAGCGCAAACGCGCGGAGGATGGGAAGCAAGAGCGCCGTGTACACCAGCCCCTCCGGGTCCATGTCTGCGGGATTTAGACGGTGCAGAGAAAGGTGGAGGGCTGTGGTGACTGGGTTGCTGCAAGTGCTAAGTGCTTGTCTTGCAGCCGCTGCTGTGACAGCCAGTGAACATACAGAGGGAGGGAGGGGGCCGCGCACTGCCTCAACAAACCCCGCCTGGTACTGGGCGGGGTTTGTTGAGGCAGTAGGGACTCCCAAACTTTTTTTTTTTTTTTTTGCTTTCCAACGACGCTCACACTTTTGGTTTTTTGAAATAGAGCAGCACCCAATCAAATGATGTTTAACTGATGTCTGCTCTTCAGTTCAGTTATTCTATGATATGAGAATATGTCGTTTGAGAAATCTATTTACTTATTTCATTGATTTATTCTGAGAAAACAGAAATTATCCATCTTTATAAATAAAGATTGATAAACCAGTATCTCACTGAAACTGTGAAAATAAAAAAGTTACAGTTTAAACTTCATGAACTGTAGGACAGGGCTGTTGAATTTGCCACATGCTCTTCTTGTTTGTTCACTAGCAAACTAGGTTCTCCAGCAATTTATAACTGAACTTTCATAAAGTTTGGAGACTCACAAGAGACAGTTCAGAAAAAATTAATGGACAACAGTGAAGCAGCAAAAGTGGTGGAGTGTAATCAAGTAGGCAACAGTTACTTAAGTACCACAATTAGGTACATTTTAAGGTACTTGTACTTTACATGAGTACCTTCTCTTTACATTTTTTATTCTTCTACTCTTCAACTATTTGTAGGGAAATATTCCTACTTTTTGAAAGCTGTAGTTACAGATTCAGATCTTATACAGCATACTGGCGTTAATTTGATACATGGTTATAGATTAAACCTCCCAACAGTATTATAGACTTTATTTGATCAGGTGTCATAGAGATTGATGTCATTACAAACTGAACTGTAGCCATAAATAATAGTTAAAATTAGCTCACTCCTTACCAGTTATACAACACTGTTGTCGATATTAATTGTGCAACAGAATATTTACGATCATTGCTTTCATTCTTGTCATCAGAGAGGACAGGAATGTTGCTCACTGTCACTTTCTAGTCTGACAGGTGGGAAGATGCTGCATTTCATACGATCAAACTCAGGGTCTTTCTGTAGATCTCACTTCAATAACCCCCTCCCACACACACACACACACACACACACACACACACACACACACACACACACACACACACACACACACACACAGGGATGGACGTGTAAAGTAGGACTCTTGTTAAATGGTCAAAAAGTAATTTTTTTCAGACTTCGGAAAGCCACAAAATGCATTATACAACTGAACTTCATAAATGAAATTGATTTGATTTTCCTGTGATAAGTTCATATGCAGAAACACTAGAATGACGCATCAGTGAAACTGTTCACAATCAGCCCGTAACCACACGTTCACACAAGAACCACTTTTCCAAAGAATACAAAAGTGTTGAAAGGGCTAAAAAAAATATTAACTGCCTCCAAGGTGAGAGTAATTTTCCATGCCAATCAAACCCAATTAAGATCTTAATGCTGAGCTGCTGCAATCTTAGGGTGTGAGCAATTTTCCACAGAATTTCTCCTAAATTTCTGGGTCCTCATAAAACTCTGCTCTCTTCCTTATATTTGCCAAGAATATCCCTTGTAGTGTTTGTCGTGACTTGCTTACATGTATGTCAGTCCCACAAGAGTCAATTGTAATCATGAGGATTAGTTGCACGCTACAATAGCTCAGTTCCACATTAACACATCAGTGTCAACACATCGGTCTACAACACTAGGAAAATCTGACGAAGATCACCTGTGATAACCTTAGATGTTTTATATTAAAACTGGCACCGACATGTAATATAAGACGTGGCACTGATGGTAGATCCCATGAGAATCAGCAGCTTCGTGTCTGTTTGAAATAGACCACTGTGTGCTCTGCAACTTAAACAGCAAAATACAGTAACGATGAATTCTCCATTGCTTTTGTATTTCCACACTTGGTTTATAAAGATACTCTATTATGTTATCACACATTTCAGCACCAGTATAGTTTACCACTTAAACTGCTGATGCAGTGGAAAGCTTAAAGCCACATTGTTCTTGCAGTGAAACTCAATAGTTTGTTTGTGCCTTTTAATCACCACTTTTGTATTTGAGACTTTTGTATTGATTACATTACAGCTGCAAAGGTTAGCATTTCCATCAACAAAAAAAAAAGAAAAAGAAAATATTCAATTAAGAATAAAGGCAGCTTTTACATTAATTTGCCACTTTTGAATGTATCATTATAAATATAAATATAGCAAATTTTGCTGATGTGTCGTACAGGATGAATCCTGGGATAAGAGTTGTAAGTAATTCATAGTTGGCTACCAAACAAAAGTTGCGACATGGGAAACAGGTAAAACATCATTTTTGTTGCGTAACAGACAAGTAATTCTTGTGAAAAGTTGGACAAAGAAGTCTTTGTTTGCTTTATTTATTTTCCCAAGAAATCTTGGCGCTCTCAGAAGTGCAAAATCTCAACTATAAAAACACTTATTATGTGATGGACTCAGACCAGAACAGCCATGCAGTTTCACCTGCTCCAGTCACACGTCAATATGATGCAAATGTACTTATTTCAATTATTTTCATGCGATGAAACAAACAAAAAAAATCCAAAGATAATTTTTTATTTGTTAGCCATTTAAATTATGAGTTACACTGTGTTAAATGAACAGATATAGAAATTAGAAATACCTTCAACTGTACAAAAAAAAAAAGAGAGTGGAAGCAAGACGTTGAGGTAAAGGGATTCAGATGATGATGCTTATGATAAAGAAAGAGGCTTAATTACAAATCCACAACCATCCATACAACCATGCTATACATTTAAACAATAAATGTTTAAAGAATGTTAAATGATTCATATTCCATAAATAATGCACTGACAAAGATGGCAAGGTTCAACAAAGCAGGCAATATTGTCAAAATCAATAAAGAAATAAAGAAAAGCTGGTTTGTCTTTGTAGAAACAAACGGCATAATGTTTCCAAACATTATCTCTTCACTTAACATTTATTAACTTCCTGGTCCCATATAAAAACAATTCATTATCAGAGCCTGTGCTATGCATTTATTGCTTCTGTTAAATAAATGTCAGGTGTTTTCCCTTTTATCAGAAAAGTCAAATGAAGCAATTCATGTTGCTGATAACCTCAGAGAACATCTTTAACCAATTATATGCCGTAATATTTTATGTGTTTGTCACAATAACTGAGCATAGCTGGATTCCACAGGACTGGTTATTTAACTTCACATTCGAGAGGGTTGGCGATCAAAACAAGACACTCTTTGCAGATGTTAAAAATAAAAACTAATTAAACTAATTAGTCAACACAGAGTCCAAACATTCACATATACAAAAAAAAAAGAAAAATCTATTGACTCATAGGTCACATGAAAGTAAAAACTAAAAAACGCAGCTAGAAAACTGCCAGAAACCTGGAAACGTAACAAGCAATTTCAAACTGTATCTTCATATGAAAAATCTGCCTCTGGCATCAGCTGCATGCTATACAGGAAATATTGGTTTTTATGTTCATTGTTTACAAACTACTTAACAGAAAGCCTTCGCCATAAGACTAAGAGGAAACCAGGCAGGAGATCTGAAAGTCTCGCCTCAAACTGTTCCATGACTGTAGACGGTATTTTTAAGAAGCCAGCACCATCTGTTGAGCAAAGAAGAAACTGCTTCTTTGAATTAGTGGGCAGATTGTCTCATCCAGCCTCCGACACGACCATTCCCTCTTTGATCTAGCCACGATAATGTTCAAACACAGTATGTGGTGTTGAATTAGCTTTTGTACAAACTTCACTTTGATTCACATTGATTTTAACAGTGGAGAAAAGCTCTTGTCTCATTTGTCAATAATTATCTCGTACAAAACACCTCTGACAGTAAATATAACGCCTCTGATGGGATGTGATTGGTACATGCATCATGGAAACTGTTTCAACAAGATCCGAGCGTGGTTAGGAAATCATGCACCACTGTTGGACCGGTAAAATTGTCTGCGTGCATGTGCGACCACGGTGAAGAGCAAGCGCATGTCTTTGGATTAGAAAAGATCTACAAGATACATCTGAGACAACAACCCGTCTAAAGCAGCACATATGCGAGCTTAACAACTCTCCCGTGAGCTCATATACAGCGTGTTTAGCACTAATGCACCTTACGTCACAAACTCGGTAAATCACAAGCATCGTCATCCGTGTATTTTGTTCTATCTTGATCCAAGAGCTGAGTATTTATTAGCACTGTTGTCTAAAGCCCCAGCCTGGTCCCTTAGAAATCCTCACTGTCTCGTGAGATTTTCCAACTGTCCAAAGGTCCAAAGGTGTAAGTTAAGTCCAGAGTTGAGTTTGATTCCCAAAAAACCCCAAGTTCATGTGCCAACTTGGATGCAGTCCCAATGCAGTTACAGTTACTGTCCTCAAATGTGACATATTTCTGTTCTTCATACATCCCAAAAACATAGTGCTTACCCCTTTTAAGCTGTAACTACTGTTTAGTGTTTTTCAGTAGAAACAGATTTGAGAGATTTGTCAATTCCCAGCAGTCACATCAGCCCTGAAGAGAGCTGTAAACCTGCCTCTCATCTTGCAAATCCAATATTACACATTCGATGATGAGCACGATCCAGAGGCTTCGCTCATGAACCAGTTCAGTTCAGATGTGTAAGTAGGTTGCAGTAGGTGGTTTTCACGTCCTTTATGTCCAGATCTCAGTTGGGACCATGGACTCCTTTGTTCCAACAGAGGGCATGAGGTTATGCTCCGACAGGAAGTCC